TTTTAGTAAGAGAGAAGAGTCAGTAAGAGTCTGACATAACCCTATAGCCGGCTGTAGGGTATCCATGAGGATTTCTCACCCTCTCCCCCGCCTGGGAGGAAACAAAAAAAAAGCTCATTGAATGAACACAGTTCAGTAGGGCCGAATCTGGCATGTTTCTCTAAGCCTAATAAAATAAAATTTGACAACAGCCAATCCTTGTCATGCTCTATACAGAATAAGAAAGAGAGAATGTTGATTTTAACTGTTGATCGCGACTTTTTACAGATTTAAAGTTTTAAAGTGGTTTTATTTTTATATAAATTATGTTTTAAAAAAAATCCCGTTTCTCCCCAAACCCAAATTTCTTCCCCTCGTTAATCCCCCCAAAAATATATTCCCCCCAAATATCCTCCCATCGTTTTAAAAACCCCCCAAATTTGGGGGGAATCCCTCCAATCTGGCATCAGTGACGGCGCAACGCACACCCGCCCGCGCACCTCGTTTCCCCCCAAGACATCTTAATTTTTACTTCTGCACAATAACCGTCAGCGCTAGAGTTTCGTGCCGCGACTTGTAAACGAGTGTATTGCACTATGCGTGTTTCAATACAAAGAGAAGTACTTGTAAGCAACGTAAGAACACGCACTATCGCGCTACGCAACGTAGTGCTTGGCAGTGTAATAATCGCCTAAATGAGAGTTTTTAGAAATGACAGGCGCTTGGTGAGGCCAGAGGTCCAATCCATAGACATAATACGGAATAACTTGTCATCGCAAGAATTTGCGATCCGATTTCGTGCGTCAAAGCTTTGGCTAAGGTGACCATACGTTCAACGGTAGTCAGCCGTACTGGAGGTGTTTTAGAAATAGTGACATGGATCGCAAAATTAGTTTTTGCACTGGTGTTATTGTTAAATAGATATATTGTAGAAGAAAAAGAAGATTTTGGGTTCATCCATTTATTACGATTGCTGCTCTGTACTATTATGTATAGAGCAGCATAAATATACTCAATTCAAAAACAAAGTAAATCTTTTAACCACATACTATATATTTTTTCCATATTTTTGCCATCTTCTAAATTTTCAAAGGTAACAACAGCTTCGAAAATACTATATTTGATAGAAAAAAGTTGGTAACCCTACCTCGAGGAGGAGCTCGATGGTGCGGGTGACTAGCGCTTTCGGCTGCGATCGTTGAAGTTAAGTAACTTTTGCAATGGTCGGTCATTGGATGGGTGACCCAAAATCTTCTCTCTTGAGTTCCTCCGTGCTTCGCAAGGCACGTTTAGCTGTTGGTCCCGGTTGCATCTGCAGTCGTTAGCACCCGCCAATCCGCACTAGGCCCGTGTGGTGGGTCATGGCTCAATCTTCCTATTCCATCCTTAGGGAAGGCCTGTGCCCCAGCAGTGGGGACATTAATAGACTGATGATGATGATGAACCCTACCTCCTGGCCGCGTCGGCCGGTTTGCTCTATATGCTGGCTTCCTTGTTTTTGGCTGATGCCCAAAAAGTTTGCCGGGGCCATAGACAAATAATATTATTGGTCCATGCCGAGGTGTGTATTTTTACCTAATAATAATAAGCAGGGATGTTTACTAAAACCCCGTTTTATCGCTGTGTGCTTAATGTTTATGTCTAGTATAATAATGCAATAATGGGAAGGAAATTCTTAATCGTCATTAAAATTATAATTACCTAGTTGAGATTTCATGCGGCGATAAGACCCCAGAAAGGTGCTTAGGTACATTGCATAGTTCAAAGTAAAATTATTTGTTAGATATCACATTAACTACTCAAGACTTCTGGTTACTGGGGACGATAGAAAAACATAGAATGCGGCAGCTTCCAACTCTGGTGGAGTAAGAAAAAAAAAACACAGATCTCGTGCTTTACACGACTTGAAAGGGCATTGAAAATGAATCTACCTATTATACATTATACAAAAAAACTAACTTTTCTGAAATTTTTACATCATCTTAAAGCCCTTCGAATTCCGCATCTTTTGAGCACTCATACGTCCTCATGGCCCTAATAAGTCACGGGCGAGTCGCACTTTCAGTGAAAAAAAATAGTGTGATATGTTATGCGATATTTTTGCTCATCTCTTATCTATTAGACAAGTCCGTCCGTCTGTCTGTGGTGCTGTTTCAGCGGCCAAACCGTAAGAGATAGATAAAGAGAATATTTAAGTTATAAGTTAAGAATAGTCTGATAAGACTACAAACCGGATTTGAGTAACGTAGCACTTCCGGTTTTCGAGAAATCACGAATTTCAAACGAAACCACACAAAATCTCCGAAGTTCTCAATTAATTAAATACATTTTTTTTTAAATCAGGTTTTGGTGAACATTTGGTTCACTGGTTTGCTAGTCAGTGCTATTGTGTAACATCTATAATTAAGATTGCACTTAGTTCGCTTCCACATTGTTTGTAAGTTACTTTATAATGACTTGGTGTTAATCTTTTTGATGTTAAATATATAAATATAAATAAATAAATAAATAAAACGGGGGCTTACTGGAGCGAACGAAAAAACATTTTCGATGGTTTAATGTACGTATCAACAGACAGGGTAATTTTTTATGTTAAACGAGTGGCAAACTGGCGTATGGCCCGCCTGATGGTAAGCGGTCACCATACCCTATAGACGCTTGCAATACCAAAAATAACACTCGCACCGTTGCCTGCCCTGGCCCAATCCCCTACCCCGTGGAGCCCTGGAACCTTACACACTGACAGAAAATGAACCACCAAAAGGTAGTGTTATTATTATAATATTTTGAAGTGAAAACTTCTTTAGCGGCGTTGTACACTTTCATTGTACTTTTTTGTCAGGTTAAACACGTGGGCTGATCGCATCATGACACACAATAAAATTGGAAAGGTTGTTGACTTTCAATATTGGACGAAAATAATAATATTTTATTTTACCGTATTATAATAATAAGTATCTATCTTGGACGTCTACGTGGCAGCTTTATTGCGAAGAAAATGCATTTTTTTTACAATAGATGTCGCTAGGTGCGCTTAAACGTGATTCATGTAAGTTGATTTTTCTGAGAGATAAACTTTTTTAATGTTATATAAAGTACGAAAGCGCAATAAATAAATATTATATTCTACCACATACATGATATTATTTTTTATACCAATAATTAAAGCAATTCATGCAAAATTATTCCCTAACCATTTCAAAATATCAAAAATGCACAACGTTAATATTCAAGTTTTCACTTCTGCCGGCACTCCCGGAGTGCAACTCGTCGTTTTTTTTATAGATAGGTCCGACAATTGACTCCACCCCACCTGATGTTAAGTGATGGTGAAGTCCAGACGTGGAGATAGCTGTTACAGCAGTTCTACCTGCCACACCAGCCATCCGCACCTAGCCGGCCTGCATGTTGCTTCTTCACGCCTTCTTTAAAGGACCCCAGGTTGTAAGAAGGTGGGAACCAGTGAGCCGGCAGAGCATACCATTTGCGGATAGTGCGACAAATAAATGAGTCACCAGAATTCTTTGTACGCGTTGAAATTGTGAAATGAAATTTCACTGTGATCATCTGTAAGGTGGAGATTGCTTTCCCAGGCGGTCGCTTCAATCTGAGCGGCAAATCCGCTATGCCCTGCTCCTCTTAGACTTGCTCTTTGTTCAGGTCTAACATGTTGCCAACTCATATCACCTATATTTAATAGTAGGTGTCGATTCTGGTATTATTCTCTAAACTTAAAACTAAATTTAATATCAGTCTCTCCTTTTCATTCTGCATAGAGAATGACAAGGATACACTGTTGTCAAATTTAAGTTTAGAGAACCATGTCAAATCGACACCAGTGTCTCAATCTTGAAAGTTAACAGCTAGCGTAACATATATTTTGTTTTCCACTCGCAGTCCAGTTTTTGCGATATTGTGGAAGATATTAGGTAGTCCGATCAGTTTTAATCCACTTCTTTTGAAGTCGAGGTTAAGTCAAGTAAGTTAAGTCTCGAGACTTAACTCGAGGTTCTTATGCAATCAATATCCTGTATATCCCAAAAAAATAGCAAGAAATATGACAAAAGTCCGAAATAAAACTTAAGGGGGTGATTGTATATTCCTTGTAAAGAATTACCTATGAAATTTGCAATTGTTACATAAGAATATACGCTTACGAAATATGGAGCCAGCGTCATGCTGGCTGCATTGATATTTTGGCGGGAAACTCTTAGAATTTTTGAGATCATTTGAGTCAGCACTGTATTGAATTTGAAACTGATTTCTAAAAAGTTATTTTAAAAAAAATCTCAAATGTAGGTAAGGTATTAGTGAAAATAAAAATGCATTGCTATGGTAAAAAAAAATTAAAGTAATGTCGTAAGAAAGGAATGAGCTAAATTAATCGCTTGTGTTACTACTAGGACTATAAGAGTCATATTGGCAAAAATCTAATACAATACGTTACATACGAACTGTCAAAGGAATGTCCTCTAATTAATTTAATAAACTCTTTTAACATTCTAATCATGTTTTGCCTTACGTTACAAATGGTCTCTATCGCATCACAGGATTGGATTATTCAGTGCCCTTTTTGTCAAATGTTAAAGGTGTAAGACATATTTTATTGTTTGGTTTAATTATTTTTTCCTGGCTGTATAATGAAATATACTTTGGTGCTTACAATCGAAATTAACAAAAAAAAGCTTGACCTTCTTCATGGAGTGTACTCAAATGATATGAAGAAGTGTTTATGTATTTTTCGATGAGCGTTTCATAGTTATTTTTTATAAAATAGATTTGAATATTTAATAGTTGTCTATGTGGATAAAGTTTTTTTTTACAAAGGTCGGTTTATAAAAAAGATTTATTGTATACAATAAAATAAGGCAAAGGAATAACTTTGGTTAAAATGGCCCAACATTAAATTTTTCATCTAAATGAAACAAACTTATTTTTTAATAAAATTACTTAACTATACATTTAAATTTCCGAATACTTAAGTACTAAATTTTATTAAATAAAAGTAAAACAAATCTTACCTTACTCAAACTTAACAATAGAAAAACTAAACTTCACTAAACAAAAACACAAAAGTCCACCAAAACAATCACTCCAGTCCAATACCGTAAAAACCTAAAAAAAAACAATCAAACGTTCGTTTTTTAAAAAGTTGAAGAACGAACTTTTTAATTTTTCCTTATTTTATTTAAAAACTAAATTCGCGTTTCGTAATGCCGATGCGATGATTTAAACACGCGCCGCGACCGTCCATCGCGCTCGCTTCACATTACGAAATGTGTGCTTATGCGCTTACTTTATGGCTGTCTAAACCATTCATCTGCTATTCGCGGCCTTTGGAAGTTCTGATAATTAAAATTAACAATTATTACTCCTTGACCGGGCCGGACGACACCGCGCATAATAATTTTATTGTTTACTATAGCGTCTTTACATCTCAATTAAATGTAATAAGGATGTTCTCTCGGAATCCTCATTTGACTATTACTTTGTTGCTGTTTTTTCGTTTATTGTCATTTATTTTGCTTATATTTTGGAAGGGAGCCAGTTATAGTTTTTTTAATGTTTATAGGGTCTTTATGCTATTAAAGACGAAAATATCACCCAAAATATACCCCGTGGAGCCCTGGAACCTTACACACCGACAGAAATACAACACATCACCAATAGAAAGTGTTATTTTGCCTTCTGTATGGTAGAGGTTACTTCCCCAGACGGCGCTCCAATTTGAGCGTAAATTCCGCTATGCCCTACCTGTCAAAATACTCTTGTATCACATGTGGATACAGGGATATGAGGAGCTCGATGGCGGCGCAGGTGGTTAGCGAGCTCGGCTGCGATCGTTGAAGTTAAGCAACTTTCCCAGTAGTCAGTCATTGGATGGGTGACCAAAAATCTTCTATCCCGAGTTCCTCCGTACTTCGGAAAGGCACGTTAAGCCGTTGGTCCGGGCTGCATCTGCAGTCGATAGCACCCGCCAATCCGCACTGGGCTCGCGTGGTGGGTCATGGCCCAATCTTCCTATTTCATCCATAGGGAAGGCCTATGCCCCAGCAGAGGGGACATTAATAGGCTGATGATGACAGGGATATGTTGGCCGCTTACCGCCAGTAGGGGCATAACTTGTTTACTACTCATTTTACTTATTTAAACTTAATTCACTTACATACTTAGTTGGAGTAAGTGTCAGTCGGGTGACAATGATTGACATCTACATCTAACCTCATCTGACCCACGTAGTGAATGGCACTGGCATGGCACCGACCCCAAATTGTTAAATTTACTTCAAATGTCACTTTAGATTTTAGTAAAATATTAATAAAGATAAGTAAATATATAAATTGAGGAGCTCGATGGTGCAAGTGGTTAGCGCGTTCGGCTGCGATCGTTGAAGTTAAGCAACTTTCGCAGAGGTCGATCATTGGATGGGTGACCAAAAATTTACTATCTCGAGTTCCTCCGTGCTTCGGAAGGCACGTTAAGCCGTTGGTCCCGGCTGCATCTGCAGTCGTTAGCACCCACCAATCCGCACTGGGATATAGTATAGTTTGAGGACAGCAGCATACAACAATTGTGTTTTTTTTTCCCGGTTTTGTTGCGGGAAGTTTTTGTGAGGTTGCGCGTTGTGGGGTAATATCTACACCTCAACGCACAACCTAGCAAAAATATTAGTATAAACGATATTGGTATTTGTGATTGGTAAATATTAATTAGTTGACGGTCATTAAAATAATAGGCATTGTTTGTGAAAACGAAAATTTCCACATACTTATCTATTTTCTATGACTAATAAATGCAAGATGCATACTTTAATTGGTATAATTAATTACACATTATAATCATATAACTTACACTTGATACTTTAATAATCAGAGGCGTCTTTACCTATAGTGCAGGGTGTGCGTTGCACACGGGCGCAAAGTCCTAGGGGGCGCCGAGCGTCGACACCGCTCGCTACGAAGCCCCACTTGCCGCACACGACGGCCGTGTAACTTTCTTCTTCAATTTCCAAACATTAGAATTTATTATTCATTTTTGAAATTTGACAGTATGCTGTAATTTGATGTTTTTACTTGTACTTTGTACCCATTCCATTGTGACCACACGCTTACTAAGGGGCGCTAGGATAATTTTGCACACGAGCGCCACATGGGCTAGAGACGCCTCTGTTAATGGATTAATATTGCGCTAAAAACATGTTAAAGCAAAGACTAAATAATGAGCTAATCGTAGCGGTCGGTCATTGGATGGGTGACCAAAAATTTACTACCTCGAGCTCGGACTACAACCACCGAGACGAGGCGGGAAGGGGTGACTGCGTTGCGACGTCGGAGAGGCACCGCTCAGTTGTTTATGCGTCATAGATAGGGCTGCCATCTCTAAAATGTGGCAACCAGGATAAGATGCGTGATAACCCCGGATTTTGAAGCCCAGAACCCGGACAGACCATTAAAAAAACAGTTAAAAATGTCACAAATCAACTTTTTTATGTTGATCTAGGCAAAAGAGCTAGCGGTATACCTCATAATAAGTGGTCACTGCTGCCCATGGACACTTGCAGCACCAAGGGCCACTCATGCCTTGCCGTAAATTTTTAAACCCGGACTACAAATAAAACCCCGCCCGGACGCTCCCCGGACGCGCCGTAAACTAGGCCAAATCAGGGGAAACCCGGACGGATGGCAGCCTTAGTCATAGAGAATGTATGCCCGCAACGCCGCTGCGACGCACGTAACAACGTTGCGGCGCCGCACCGCTCGTGTGCCCATTGATGCGGCGTAATCTTTGCGGTGCGGCGTCGCAACTCATCGTGTGCTCGAGCACTGACATGCCACAGAGATATTTCTATGTAAGACAAAGCAGCGACACCACTCCGGCGCCGCACCGCCGCAACGCATAGTGTGCCCCCGCTCTTAGACAATTCATATGCTTGATTATCCCTATTGACATAAAAAAACTAACTCGTTGAATTCAGACGACGCATCCTGAAAAAGGATGCGAAACGTCAATAAATAAATAAATCCGTGCATCTTTACCGATTTAACTTGTTTTATTTAATAAGTGGTGTGAGTGAGAACCTAAGGAACAAATATAAAAAACTAACTAATTGACGATGGCAAGAGACCTGACGGAATGTCGCTCATTCCTTGGAAACAGGGTCGCCCTCTTGTGTGGGACGCAACTTGCGCGGATACACTTGCTCAGTGCCACACAGGGAGCACCTCCCTTGCTGCGGGTGCGGCGCGGCACCCTCTGCTGAATGCTCCAAACGGTGCAACACGGAGTACCCCCACTAGAGTCCGCATACAAGGGCAAGCGCTTACGCCAAGCTTAAGTAGTATTTTACCTATGCATGAGGCACGCCTACAGACGTCGCGATACATCGTTTCATTCGGTAACCGAGCGTTGGTCGAACTGCTTCTCTCGTTTTCGTGTTAAAAAACTGTAAAAAATGCCGTACTGTGCAATTAAATTGTGTGGAAAGTCGAGTACAACTTCCAGTCTTAAAAAAATGGTATTACTTTTCACTGGTTAGTTTAAATGCATTACAAAAATACTGTTATATTAAATTGGTGTTAATTGTATTTATTTTTTGGTGAACGCGTTGATGTCTTTTTACACTATCCCTTTCTCGCATGGGCTACATCATATATGCTATCTCGCTTTCACACCGGCACATGTATTGCTAGTGACTCAGACGCAGCTCATGTCTCAACGCGTAAGTTTATCGATAAGTTTGTCAGCTATGGAAATTGAAAAAATAAATAAAAACTATTTATTTCATCGTAGACAATAGATGTCATGAGTATACAACCAACAGTTTTTATTTGACTTCAAACATATCCTAATAAAATTGAAAAAACGCGATAAATTTGTATGCATATTTGTTACTCTTTCACGCTAAAACAGTTAAACGGATTTGTATGAAATTAAGTGCGCATAGTTTATGACCTAGATAAAGACATAGAATTAACGATATTAAATACCCTAGAAACACCACGAGCGCTCAAAATGTGTCCCCATCAAGAAGTACTTGAACTCCACTCAATCGCGGACCGTTGAAAAGTCAAGATGCCAAAGAGTTCCGTGAAAAAATACAGAAAAATACTAATAGAACGTAAAGTGTCGTTTTTGCGATGGGTAGCTAATTAATGTTTTTTAATTAACGCCTTTAAAGCAAATTTTATTGTTGTAATACTTACTATAAACTGATTTAATATAAAATATTTGTGATATTCAAATGCATGGTCGGTTATACGTCGCCCTTAGCCATCTCTTTTCTTCGCGATCTGTACCTGCTATATTGCTAACAGCGCATTCAGAATTGCGCGCGAAAAGTCAAAAAAAATAAGGTCTATATTCTTTCACACATAACAATAAATCGTAAAATTTTACGAACTTAACGCGTGCATTTTAATTAAGACCTTATGCCGTATGCATTAAAGGTGAGTTTCAATGTTTAAATAAGGCATTATATTGTTTTTGACCACGCGATCATCTTACGGATCTCCGCGGATCGTCCAATGTACCTTTTGGACACGTTTCGGCCACGATTTTGTTCGTGTTGTTGTATCTAGGGTAGTTAATATCGTTGCATTAATACTTCTTGTCCTGGGCGTGTTTTTTTTTGTGATGCTTATATATAATTTAGTATGTAGTTACTAGTCGCGTCATGTAATTAGAACGCTGGAAGAAAGTGGAGAGGGTATGATTACGCATTTGCTTACACTCGCGCACCAAAGTACTAGGCCTCTATTCTAAATTGTTTATCGATAGAAAATATCGATATTTTCTAAAATCGATCTTACCCTCATCACTTCGCTGCACTGAGTATATGATCTGACCTTGACGCGTCCAATCACAGCGGGGCTGACCTCCCTGGACCCCACCGACTTTGGCGATTTTGATTCCAAACAAAATTTGTGTGATGCGGACTCTAGTGGGGGTGCTCCATGCGGCGCAAATATTCACTCTCAATGAGAACTATATATTACCATTTGGTGTTGTGACCATGGGCCCATGGGGTCCAAGCACTCGTTTCTTTTTTAACGAAACATCAAAGAGACTCACCGAAGCTACTGGTGACCAAAAGGCTGGCAGCTATCTTGGTCAACGGATCAGCCTTGCCATTCAACGTGGCAATGCTGCCAGCCTATTGGGCACCATTCCTGACGGCGGCGCTGGGGGTGATTTATTTTTTTATTTTGTAAATAAGATGTTATTTATAAGTAGTTTAAGGTAATTTGAATTTAAATTTTATACATTAGGTAGTTTATAAGTGTAGTTTATAAAGTGTGTTTTGCAATGCTCCTTATATTTATAGTAAATTACCTGAAAGTGTGCGAGAAATTACCGTGACCAATATATTTAAAAACAAATTACAACATTTTTTAATGGAAAAATGTTACTATACGGTCCTTGAATTTTT